CCCCAAAGGTGCCAATTCTTAATGGAGAGCGGGGGACAAAGGCTTGAAGCGGAACTTCCCCTTTTGGGTGGAGCACCATTTAAGTGCTAATTGTGCTTGTTTAATCTCAAGTTTAACTGATACTTCAGTGGTACCCATCCAAATCGAACTTTAAATGTCTTGAAGGAATCTAATTTGTGGTGGTCTCTTAACATTGTTTGCACACTTTCTGGCTTTTACATAAAGCATACACAGCAGATGCATATAAATAAAGAGTGTAGATGCCACTGTTATGAAGCTAACGTAACATCCACCAGATAAAACTAAAGCTATATAAATAGGGAGTATTTGTCTGCCACCATGAAATCACTGCATGCAGTAATGTAATATTTCTACTAATTAATGTTCATCATCTTTTAAGCATCTAAAGTTGCTTGGTATCAAAGTCTTGTAGAGCACACCCTGAGAAGATATTGCTCATTAGCGATAGTTCTTCATGATAATTTTGTGTTTAATGTATTTTAAGTGCCTTATTTCTTATTAAAACTTCAATCACCCTGCACTTGATTGTAATTAAATCCACCCTGGGCAATACATTGTTTCCCAAGTAAATATGGCAAACATAATTAAGAGAAACTTTATAGTTAATGTATCATTGGTTTTCATGCAGTGATTAAGTTTTCAAGGGGGAGAAACACAATCATTCACTTTAGGCATAATATTTTATTTCAGTGGCTGATGCATTCAAAGTTTATTTGCCTTGAACTGGTTGTTGGCTTGTTTTGTCAACTTGAAAGCTGAAAAGAAATCACATCTGTAACACACAGATGAAATATGCAAATGACTTTTAAAATATAAGTGATACAGGATAGCCATTCCATGCTAATTATATTAAATGAATGAATAGATATTAAAGCTCAATGTAATTTGTGATTCATCTTTGCTCTCTGAGAAAAGATTGATTCCTTCATTAAATGCCAAGGTTTTATGGAATATGGAAATATAGAGATTGTGCATTGAAAGTGATGGAACAGAACACTTTTTATTAATTTCAGGCAAGTGGGGAAGCTTGCAGTATTATCCTTTGTTATCGGTATAAGTGATCTCGCATTTGAAGGTTACATAGCTAAATCTCAAAAAAAGTACTCCATATCTTACACATCATTAAACAATTAAGCTATTATTTTTTTATAAGTCAACATGTTGTTAACTCATCATCGAGTATCTTTCATCAATTGCTGATATACATGTTATCTGTAAGTTTCTTTATGAGGTAGACTTCATAGCCATCACTAAGAAATAGTAGACAAAGGGGTTGATTTGCTAAAGGGGAAATAGATTGTTCAGTTTGCGAGTGCAGTTTCTGTTTTTTTTCTTCTTTTTCATTTTCCTTGCACGTCATCGGGTATTCTTTGCAATGTGAAGCTTCATCACATTACTAAGCTGTGGGGGACAAATTCCTTGCAGAGTGCAACTTCACTTACAAAGTGAACAGTCTAATTCCATGTATTAAATCAACCCCAAAGAGTTTTTACAATTTAGGTGTTTTTAGTGGGATGAAATGGACTTCCTTTTAATAGGTATTCCATATTCCATACGGTCTAATTAATGTATGTATCACAAACGAGGGGGCTATCATATGGCTTCAGCCCATCAGCAGATGTCAGATGAGCAATCCTACACTCAAAGCGTCTCTTAAAGTGTCTGTAAACCCTAGTAATGAATTTCTCTTAATTGCTCTATTTGGTTTGTTAATCATACCATTGAAAACATTTTGCTATATTTGTTCTATAAACACAAACAAATATCTGTTGTTCTTTCGAGAAATCTTGTGAGCTGATAATTTCCTGTGCTGTTTAGCTTGCATTGCACCCAGTTCTCTCTGTGGACTAAATATCGTCTCTTCTTTGTTGAAGAAGAGGAGAGGGAGATCTTCTGTAGTCTTAGGACAGGAAGTGTGTTTGCCAGCAGGGTCACTAGGTGAAAATAAAGGGAACAAAAAATTCAAAAAAATAGAAAATTAATGCAGCCACCACATCTAAGGATTGGTAAGCTGCAATATAACTTTCGTTCTGAGTTTAGGTATCCTTTTAATATGGATATTCTACATGCCTGACCGCATTAAAGGTCCATTAGGTCTTATTAATGAAACACTGTTTTCAGGAAATGGATCACTTGTTTGACACCAGCCTTTAACCTGACTTAACCCCTTGGCGCCAGCCCTTTAAGGGGTTTTTGATACCAAGATGTGGAATTTAGGGTCATTTGACCGCCGTAATTGGCTGTCACGGCAGTCACATGATAGGAAAGCTGCTGACCACAAGTAGCGACCGGGACTTTTCCGTGAGGCGTCTGTAAATGTGCCAGGAGCATGCAGGGCATGCGCTCTCGGAACATTTTTTGTTTACATTGGGTACACCAATATGCGGCCCCTCACCACCACGCTCCAGCTGCCAAGAGGCCGCATATTTCCGTGTTCTCAGCACTAAACAGTTAAAGTCAAACTATAGTGAGCAAGTATGGAGGCTGCCATTGCTGATCTCTCCATCTGAAAGTTCCAGTTTCCTGGCCTTCATAATATAGGAGTATCAGTACTTTCTGAGTCACTTATCTTGAACAATTGTTCATATTTAGGAGTTTTGAGTTCACCATTATACTAGTAAAGGTCCCTGGTCTCATACCTTTTTTTCCAGCCGCAAATGTGAGACTGTGTTGTGTGGGAGACATTTGACAGTTGCACAATACCTTATTTTAAAAAAATAAAGAAAGTAACTTTAGTTATTTTCAAGTGTCAGATTCACTTTAGCATAGACTTGACAGACAATTTCTTCCCAACGACAAAAATAATTGGAAGAACTGTGCATGCTGAGTTTACAATCGAGTGTTGACAGCAACAGTTTTTCAAGGTCACTGGTAGAACTGGGCTCAAACTGTTGAAGTTCTTTGTGTAGCTGTAATGTGTTTTCTTGGTTTGAAGCACATATCATAAGGTCATCCAAGTTAATATGTTTTGGGAAAAAAATGACTTTTTGTTGAGCAAATGCTGTATCTTGGATTCAGTTGAAGATTATTGGATATTTTTGTTGTATTACTTCTTACTACCTTTTACTTTAATATATATACACTGCTTAAAAAAAATTAAAGGAACACTTTTTAATCAGAGTATAGCATCAAGTCAATTACACTCCTGGGATATTGATCTGGTGAGTTACAAAGCAGAAGGGTTGTTAATCAGTTTCAGCTGCTTTGGTATTAATGAAATTAACAGCAGGTACACTAGATGGGCAACAGTGAGACAACCCCCAAAATAGGAATGGTTTTACAGGTGGAGGCCACTGACATTTTTTCCTGCTCATCTTTTCTGACTGTTTTTTCACTAGTTTTGCATTTGGCTAGGGTCACTGTCACTGCTGGTAGCATGAGGCGATACCTGGACCCTACAGAGGTTGCACAGGCAGTCCAACTCCTCCAGGATGGTCCATCAATACGTGCCATTGACAGAAGGTTTGCTGTGTCTCCCAGCACAGTCTTAAGAAATTCCAGGAGACAGGTAGTTACTCTAGGAGAGCTGGACAGGGCTGCAGAAGGTCCTTAACCCATCAGCAGGACCGGTATCTGCACCTTTGTGCAAGGAGGAACAGGATGAGCACTGCCAGAGCCCTACAAAATGACCTCCAACAGGCCGCTGGTGTGAATGTCTCTGACCAAACAATCAGAAACAGACTTCATGAGGGTGGCCTGAGGGCCCGACGTCCTCTAGTGGGCCCTGTGCTCACTGTGTGGCACCATAGATTTCGATTGGCATTTGCCATTGAACAACAGAACTGACAGGTCTGCCACTGGCGCCCTGTGCTTTTCAGAGATGAGAGCAAGTTCTTGCTGAGCACATGTGACAGACGTGAAAGGGTCTGGAGAAGATGTAAAGATCATTATGCTGCCTGTAACATTGTTCAGTATGACCGTTTTGGTGGTAGGTCAGTGATGGTCTTGGGATGCATATCCATGGAGGGACTCACAGACCTCTACAGGCTAGACAATGGCTCTCTGACTGTCATTAGGTATCAGGATGAAATCCTTGGACCCATTGTTAGACTCTATGCTGGTGCAGTGGGTCTTGGGTTTCTACTGGTGCAAGACAATGCCCGGCTTCATGTGGCAAGAGTATGCAGGCAGTTCCTGGAGGATGAAGGAATTGATACCATTGAATGGCCCCCACGCTTGCCTGAACTAAATACAATAGAAGACCTCTGGGATATCATGATTTGGTCCATTTGACGACACCAGGTTGCACCTCAGACTGTCCAGGAGCTTAGTGATGCCCTGGTCTAGACCTGGGAGAAAGTACACCAAGACATCATCTGTTGTCTCATTAGAAGCACGTTGTCAGGCATGCATACAAGCACGTGGGGGCCATAAAAACTACTGAGTACCATTTTGAGTTGCTGCAATGAAATTTCAGCAAAATGGACTAGCCTGCTGCATTAATTTTTTCACTTTGATTTTCAAGGTGTCTTTGAGTTCAGTCCTCTGTAGGTTAATAATTTTCATTTCCATCAAACGATGGGGCATCCTTACATTCCTAACACATTACCCAGTCCCTATCAGTATAGATATCCAGCATGATATTTTTCCCCATGGAGATCTGATGTGTTTTCAAAGTGTTCTTTTAATATTTTGGAGCAGTATATTAATATATATAACTTATTATCTTTTACTTTATTATATACGGTCATGCAAATTGACATGATATTTATCCTTTTATATTGGTTAACTAATTAAGTGTTGTGTATATGTGAGACCAAATTTTAGCAGAATTTGATTTATTAAATTTACCTGTCTTGCTGTATCACCAGGTCATATGTAATAGTGTTTTTTTTTTTTTTTTTTTTTTTTTTGTTTTTTACCAAAGAACCGCACCCCATATAAGGTAATGATGGGCACAAGGCTGTTTTCTCATTCTGGGAGGACATCATATGACGTCCTCCCAGTCTAACCACGCATGCGTGGCTCTCGGAGCGTGCAGCATGGTGATCAGTGGTGCGCTGTGTCCCTCGGACACCGATCAACGGAAAGAGCCGAAAATGCCGGCTCGGTCATGTGATCAGCTGTGTCCAATCACAGCTGATCGCATGTAAATAGGGAAATGCCGGTTATCGGCATTCCTCTCCATTACGAGCTGTCACGCTGACAGCTCGAGACAAGAGGAGAGCCAGTAATCGGCATTCTACAGAGAGGACATGTACACTGATCTTCAGGGCACTGATGATCAGTGTGCCCTGATGATCAGTGTAGCCCCAGCAGTGCCACCTGTCAGTGCCCATCAATGCCAGCTGTCAGTGCTCATCAATGCCACCTGCCAGTGCCCATCAGTGCCTCATCAATGCCACATATCAGTGCCTACCAGTGCACATCATTGCCACATATCAGTGCCCATCTGAGCTGCCTTTCAGTGCCAACTATCAGTGCCAGTCAGTGCCACCTATCAATGCCAGTCAGTGCCACCTATCTGTGCTGCCAATCAGTGCCGCCTATCAGTGCCAGTCAGTGCCGCCTATCAGTGCCACCCTCAGTGATGCTTGTCAATGACCATTAGTACCACCTACCAGTGCCTCCCCATCAGTGCCACTTATCAGTGCAGCCTACCAGTGCCCGTCACTGCAGCCTCATTAGCACACATCAGCGAAGGAGAAAAAGCACTTATTTACTTAATTTTATAACAAAAACTAAGAAAAAACTTTTTTTTCAAAATTTTCAGTTGTTTTTGGTTTGTTTAGCAAAAAATATAAAAAAACCCAGAGGTGATTAAATACATCCAAAAGAAAGCTCTGTCTCAAAAATGATAAAAATTTCATATGGGTACAGTGTTGCATGACCGCGCAATTGTTATTCGAAATGCGACATCACTGAAAGCTGAAAACTGGCCTGGGCAGGGGGGGTATAAGTGCTCTGTAGACAAGTGGTTAAATTACAAAATACAGTTTAGCAAAGAGCCATGTAAGGCCTACACACATAATTGTAGGGTATAGTAGATGTTTTTTTTATAAGGGAGCTCAGACTTAATCATTTAGCTACCATAGAGACCACCAGACAGTGTTTTAAATTTATGGAGCTGAACCCAGTGCAGAGAAGTAACAATTGACACCTAGAATGTGGTTTGAATAAACAAAAGGCAACCACAAACTTTACCCACTAATCTCAGTGCTTGTCATCCTTAGGTCTCTTGTTCCATGTTAACATTATACATTGAGTGGTTTTATGGCCAGAGGCATTTATATCATGTGGAGTGTGCCTGCAGTTAAAAGAATTCAGGCAAATAGATTGTGCACTTTGCAAGTACTGTTACACTCATTTTTCTCAGAGCTTAATGAATGTGGTGAAGCAACCCTTTGTAGAGAATATCAAATCAAGTGCAAAGAAAATTTAAATAAATAGTAATTTTACTTGCATGTGATTGAATGATGGAAATAAACAGTGCTTTACCACATTCACTAAGCTTTGGGGAAAATGAATGCAGCTACACTTGCAAATGCACAGTAAATCAACCCCATAATCTCATTACGTTTATGCATACTTTCTGGTGCTCAGGGAGCTGTATGTGACACCTACAGCCATCACTACAAGTGGTACACCACCAAGCTCAGGCAAATATGGATGGCTTCTGCATTGGTATTTACCCATACGTACTGTATGTATAGTGCTTGTACCCAAATATACCACTTTTGTGTTTGGGGAGAGCTCCTTATGCACATATTGAATATTTTTGCTCTATCGTGCAATTTAATTTAGGGGATGATTTATCATAATAAGGACTGTTAGAGAATATAACCTTATAATTTGTCTTCTGTTAAAAAAAAAAAAAAAAGTAACCATGGCTTTAATATAGCATAATTGCCATATTGACAATACCTGGGTACATGGAATCACACAGTCGTGTCTCATACGTTATGTTCGTTCTTTTATTGGGCTCTCAGTAGTAGATATGATTTTTACAAAGAGGTGGAGAAAAATGGCTGTGCAATGGTTAGGTAACAATTATGTTTTAATACTGACAAAAAATACTTACATCTGTGATATATCACTAAAACTTGGACAGATAACAGGTCATGATGACCAGTATGGCTCTCTCTCCAATTACACCAGAAATGTCATCATGACTGGCCAATCATTTCTCAGAAGTACAGTTGTGACCAAAATTATTCAACCCCCACTGAAATGATGACCAGTTGGCTCTCTCTCCAATTACCATTTACCAGAAATGTCATCATGGCCACTCCAAAATGTCTGGCCAATCATTTCTCAGAAGTAGTTGTTTGCCGCATACTCTATTGTGTAATACCACCATCTGGACGTATTGTGAAAATAAGAGGTTACTTACAATAAAATCCTAATACGTAAGGCAGTGTTTCTCAACCTTTTTCCAGTTGGGGCGCCCTTGAAAAGTATTTTCAGTCACGAGGCACTCCTGTCCAAGGCTTGGTTCACTTTACTGTGTGTCACGGAATGCACACAAAATCGTGCTTATTCCTGACATGCAGACAAATGCTCTGCTCTTTAGGGGTACCCCATACATTGGCAAACCTGGGGTGTTTTTTGGTGTGGTGCAATTTTAAAACTAAGGTCAGGGACGACTTTCCCTGCATTTCTGCGGGTAAGGCAGCCCATTGAAATGAATGGGATGCTCTACACACAGCCACACATATGTGAACCAAGGGCATGTTCACCTGTGCCTAACTTGGTGCTTATTATAGCTATTTTCAGTCACGAGGTTGGAGGGCGGTAAAACCATGCAATTGAGCTGCTTTTACCACCCCCAACTGCTCCCCCTTTAGCTGCAGAAACAGCAGCTGGGGGTATACACATGCTGTTGCCGCTGCTGGAAGTATATTCCTCCAGGTGAATGGAGTTGAACAACCACCCCGCAACTGTGTGCGCATTGCACACAGTTGTAGTGTGGTGATTGATGCTGGGGTTAAACCAGATGGTGAGGAGACAACATATTGCCTCTTTACCACCTGTCAAATGCCTCTGAAAAGTGATCTGAGAATGGATTGCTTTTCAGAGGAACAGCAGTCTTTGCTGCTATTATGAACAAGTCCTAAAAAAGAAGTTCTGATAGGACAGGAATAGGGGGTCAAAATTAGAAGTAAAATACATATGCACATATATAAAAAAAAAAACACACACACATACAAACACATGTACACACACAGACACACACACACACGTATACAAATACACGCAGACACATGTACACACGCACACGTACACACTCACAGGCACATGTATACAGCATTCTGAAAAGCTACAGTACCTTAGCTTCCATCATACAGCCAATACTTAACTCTAGGGGAAGCAGGGAGCACAGAAGACTGTCCCCCTTCCCTTTGCTTTCACTTTGCTCAGCGGTCTGATGGCTCTCAGTGCCGATGTACAGTGTGGCTGGGGATTGGGAGCTCGGGGCTCAAGTGACAGCCATTCTCCCCACGGCACCTCTGAAGACCTATGGCGGCACCCCCATTGAGAAATACTGACTTAAGATATATCTCTGATTATACATGTTCTTAACTAAAGCACAACTTTATCCTTTGTAGACCCTTCATGCATACTTATTCCTCACAAGGACAAAAATGCATCCAAGAAGGTATTGTTCAATGGCAAAATTATTTATGTATTTGTTAAGACGGCTGCAGCATTTAGCCTGTATAATCTATTAAAAGTATAGCAAACCAACAGCTCCTGCTGTGATAAACACCAATTACACTGCAAACACATATGGCATAAAATATTTAAGGAACATTTGACACTGACCTTTCTGCTGTACTGTGAGACCTTTTGTTACTGCTGACGGTTTGAAGGATTTTATGGGGGGGCAAAACTCATGTGTAAGTAAACTAGTAAGGAGATGTTACACTGTGGCAAATTCCGAATGATGTAGAAAAAAGCTTTTTTTATTTATTTATTTATATATATATATATATATATATATAATATATATATATATATATAAATACTGTACCTATGTTGTAATGTTGTTGAAACAACACTATGTTTAGGACTCTCCAAGTGATTTGATTTCTCACAGTATTAAAACATAACTTTGTCTTAAAAAGAACATGTATGCTCAAAATATGTAAGCTATCATTGCCTTTTTTTTATTTTTCATAAGGCACAAGCTCCAAAATTACTGGCCTAGAGAGTTGAGACTTCATTGTGTGCCCTTTCCGGAGCAGCTGCTCAATGGATAGGTAGTAGAGACAAGGTCAGGATGACAGCTTCAAAGTCTGCACATTTAAAAAGTAGTCCGTAATGGTTCATCACATAGTTCTATATGAATACTTGTATTATCCCTTACTCCTAAAACTTGGCTCTAGCATACTACTGTACAAAGAGTGTTACCTTAGATAAAATTCTAAAACTTCATTGTTCCAACCTGGGGTTTAAAAATATTGAAGACATTGGAACAAGACATCCAGGCATCTAGCATTTTTAGAAGCAGAGGCTAGGAGTGGCAGCCTCCTTACTTTCTCTGAACTGGTAAGACAAGCCATGGACAACTCATGTCTTACCATCCTTAGTGGTCTTTTGAAATCCCTTGTCCCTTCCAGAGATGTATTAGGCCCAGAAATTCCACATTCCATTTAGCTTTTTCAGTTCACTGGTGGGGGGGTCTCCTTTCCCCTGGATATAACATTCCACCACTCAGAATTGGTGTCAAGCCACTTATGACAGGCAGTTCCATAGTGCCAGAGGACAACTCTGCTTACCTCTCATCTTCTCCATCAACACTAACAGCCTCAGTTTCCTCTACCTGGACTTTGAGCTGAGAGCCACATGACCTACTCTGCCACATGACATGCATTTTGCTGACTGGTTACCACTCATCAGGAAGCATCCTCTGTTGCTTGCCTTCTACCATCATGTGATTGTGTACGAAACTTCTATATGACGAGTAAACTATCATATAACAAATAGCAGTATTTCCTTTACCTGTATACCCTAGGCCTATGAGCGGTGGGGTGAAGTGCTTTTCGTTGCATCCCCTGCTAGAATAAGCAACATGTGCAAGCCAGATCAGTTTTAGCCAACACGGACACCCTCAGCAAGCCTCATGCTGTGACACACCCATTATGGGAGAAAGACTGAAAAAGCATGAAATTTGGGTCAGTTGGTTATGGTTATCTGGGTCTTTTATGTTTAAATTGTTTTTATAAGTTTTAGAACTTTTCACAGGAAAGAAAAAAAATAGGAGGAACAGTAAATTACAAAAATACACATTCCTGTGTATTCCTGCATACAGGAAAAACAAAGATAATACTGGTACAGAAAATCACTCCAGAATGAGTAGGGAATATAAACCTATCTCAACCATCTGTATGGGCAGATAATAGGGCATTATCGATATGCATGAATATCCACAGAAACGCAACATAAAAACAACATTAAAATGAGTGTATAAAGAACACCCAGCAGTATTATGGATTTCATGAATAACAGCAGCACCATGCAAAGTATACAGTCATTACTATTTGGTAGATAT